TTTTTGCCCATTGAGTATGATGTTGGCTGTAGGTTTTTTATATATGGACTTTATTATGTCGAGATATGTTCCTCTATTCTCACATTGCTGAGTATTTTTATCAGAAATGGGTGCTGAATGTTGTCAAATGCTTCTTCAGTGTCTATTGATATGATCATATGGTTTTTATCTATCATTTTGTATATGTGGTGTATCACATTTATTGATTTGTGAACATTGTACCAGCCTTGCATCCCTGGGATGAATCCCACCTGGTCATGGTGAATAATTTTTTTAATGTATTGCTGGATGTGATTTGCTAGTATTTTATTCAGGATTTTGGCATCTATATTTATCAGGGATATTGGTCAGTAGTTTTCTCTCTTTGTAGTGTCTTTACCTGGTTTGAAAATTAGAGTTGTGTTGGCTTCATAAAATGAGTTTGGAAGTCTTCCTTTTTAAAAAATTTTTGCAATAGTTTGAGGAGAATGGGTGTTTGTTGTTCTTTGAATGTTCAGTAAAACTTCCCTGTGATGCCATTCATGCCTGGGCTTTTGTTTGCTTGGAGTCTTGATTACCTCTTCCATTTCCTTAGTTGTTATTGGTCTGTTCAAGTTTTCTATCTCTTTCTGGTCCTGTTTTGGGAGACTATGTGTTTCTAGAAATTTGTCCATTTCATTTAGATTTTTCAATTTGTTGCCATATCACTGTTCACATTATTTGTTAACCATCCTTTGCATTTCTGTGGTGTCAGTTGTTATTTCTCCTTTTTCATTTCTGATTTTGTTTATTTGAGTTCTCTCTCTTTGTTTCTTGGTGAGTCTAGCTAAGGGTCCATCAATCTTTTTTATCTTTTCGAAGAATCATCTTTTTGTTTCATTGATTCTTTGAATTGTTTGTTTGTTTGTTTTTTATTGATCTCTAAGTTGTTTATTTCTGCTCTAACCTTTAATATTTTCTTCTATTTGCTCTGGGGTTATCTTTTTGTTTGCTTTCTAGTTCTTTAAGTTGTGAGGTTAGATAGTAAATTAGAAATTTTTCTTGTTTCTTGAGGTGGGTCTGTAGTGCTATCTATAGTGCTATGAACTTCGCTCTCAGAACTGCTTTCGCTTCATTCCATAGATTTTGTGTGCTGTGTGTTCATTTTCATTGGTTTCCAGGAAGTTTTTAATTTCTTCCTTGATCTCCCTGGTAACCCATTTATTGTTTAATAAAATGCTATTTAGCCTCTATGTTTTCAAATGTCTTTGCATGTTCTTACTGAAGTTGATTTCTAGTTTCATGCCATTGTGATCTGAGAAGATGCTTGATATGATTTCAGTCTTCTTGAACTTGTAGGGACTTAGTTTGTGTCCTAACATGTGATCTATTTTTGAGAATGTCTCATGTGCACTTGAGAAGAATGTGAATTCTACAGTTTTGGGGTGTTAGTCTCTGTAGATCTCTATTAAATCCATTCGATTTAGTGCATCATTTAGAGTCTCTGTTTCCTTGTTAATTTTTTGTCTAGAGGATCTATTCAGTGATGTCAACGGGGTGTTGACGTCCCCTACTATGATTGTGTTGCTGTCAATTTCTCCTTTGAAGTCCTCCAGAAGATTTTTAATATATTTTGGTGCTCCTATATTGGTTGCATATATGTTTACCAAGGTTATATCTTTCTGTTGGATAGATCCTTTCAATATTATGTAGTGGCCTTCTTTGTCTCTAGTTATGGCCTTCATTTTGAAATCTATTTTATCAGATATGAGTATTGTTACCCCAGCTTTTTTTTTCTGATGTTTGCTTGGAAGATTTATTTTATCATCCCTCCCTTCACTTTCAACCTATGTGACTCTTTTGTGAGGTGGATCTCTTGTAAACAACATATATATGAGTCATGCTTTCTTATCCAATCAGCTACTCTGTGTCCTTTGGTTGGAGCATTCAATCCTTTTACATTTAAGGTTATTATTGATATGTACTTATTTATTGCCATTTTTGTTTATTGTGGTTATATTTTTCTTCCTATTTCTTCTACTAATTACAGTCTTTTTAACATTTCTTGCAGTGTTGGTTTGGTGCTAATATATTCCCTTAGCCTTTTTGTTTTTTGTTTTTGGTCTGGGAAGCTCTTTATTTGACCTTCTATTGTGAATGATAGCCTTGCTGAATAGAGTAGTCTTGAATTCAGATTCTTGTTTTTCATTAGCTTGATTCCTTCATGCCATTCCCCTCTGGCCTGTAGTGTTTCTGTTGAGAAGTCAGCTGATAGTCTTATGGGGGTTCCTTTTCTAGGTAACCTGTTGCTTATCTATTGCTGCCTTTAGAATTCTCTTTTTGTCTTTAGTTTTTGGCATTTTAATTACTATGTGTCTTGCTGTGGGCCTGTTTGGGTTCTTCTTACTTGGGGCTCTCTGTGCTTCTTGAACTTGAATGCTTTCTTCCTTCACCAAGTTAGGGAAGTTTTCTGTTTCTATTTATCCAAATATATTCTCTAACCCTTGCTCATTTTCTTCTTCTTCTGGAACTCCTATAATGCAAATGTTACGTTTCCAGTTGTCCCACAGTTCTCTTAAGCTGTCTTCCTGTTTTTTAATTGTTTTCTTCCTTTTGGTTTTCTGATTGGTTGATTTTTTTTCTACCCTGTCTTCTAATTCACTGATCTGGTTCTCAGCTTCGTTTACTCTGCTGGTTATTTCTTCCAATGTGTTCTTTATTTCTGCTATGTCATTCTTCAATTCCAATTGGTTGGTTTTCAATGTTTCTATATCCTTACTCATGGTATTGAGGTTCTTACTCGTGCTGTTGAGCTTCCTGATGATCATGGCTCTGAACTCTATCTCTGATAACTTGCTTAACTGCATTTCATTTATCTCATCTTTAGTAGAGTTTTCTTGTTCTTTCATTTAGGATTTGTTTCTTCGTTTAACCATTTTGGCTGCCAAATTTTCCCTGTTGATGTAGGTGTTCTGCTGTTTGTGGCTCTCTCTACTCAGTTTGGATGAGTGTGGGAGGACCCATTTTAAACAACACTGTCAAGTCTTACTTTCTTGGGTAGATTTGCAAGCCCAGGAAATGTGCAGTTATCCTCTAGCTTTTTGCCTGGAGGCTATTAGTCTTAATTACTGCATGAGTCTTGAGTTGTAGCCCTCAGCTGAATGAAAAACTCCCTCAGGTGTTCAGTGTAAGAGGATTTCCAGAGGGTGGGGCAGATGCTGGTTGTTAGTGAGCCTCACATTGAGTTTCTCTGGCCCAGCTGGGTGGTTTTAAATCTCTGAAGGAGGGGCTGCTGCTTCTCCCCAGAGCTCCTGGAAGAGGCTCCCTGAGTAAGACGGCCATTGTCTTGTGTGCCCGAGACTCAGCAAAAACTCTGAGTGCCCTCCAAATCCCGAGTGCCCCCGAATGTTCACACTTTCTCTGCTGGAGCCCCAGGTGAGTGGCTGTAGTTAATTTAGTGCTCTTTCCCAGCCCTCTGCACTGTGTAGCTGGCTTGGAGTTGTAACCCCAAGGGAGTTGCTCACAGCTAAAACAGCTGCTGTCCATAGGCTTCCAGCCACCCTCTCGCGCCTCCGCAGACCTACCAGGCTCGATTCAGTGCCTTTTTTTCTGTCCCTGGTTATATGGTCCTCTCCAGTTGCTTTTCTGTTGCTTTTTCCAGACGATTTGTCTTTATTTTAGTTGTAATCCCAGTTTGGTCCTGGGAGATGGTCTGTGTAACTTCCATTCACTCCTCCAATTTGGAATCCCCAGATGTGTGTTTCTTAAGCAGAGGAATAGTTACCATCTCATATAGAAACTCTTTCTTTACCTTTTTCAAAGAAGAAATGTATTAAAAATATAATTTACTTCAAAAATAAAAGGGGAAAACCCAGCCCTGGTCAGTGAGGCTCAGTTGGTTGCAGCATTGTCCTGTATGTAAAAGAAGGAGGGTTTGAGTACCAGTCAGGGCACAAACCTGGGTTGCAGTTTTGATCCCTGGTCAGGCATGTACAGGAGGCAGCAGACTGATGGTTGTCCCTCATACCAATGTTTCTTTCTCTCTCTCTTTCTCTCTCTCTAGAATGAATTTTAAAAAAAGAAACACCAGAGATCCCCACTAGTAAAGGTAGAAAGTCATGTTGAGCATGAACACTGGGCACTTGCTGCTTGTCTAGAGAGGAGAGTGAGAAGGGTCCCAGTCCTCATGCTTTTTATCTCCCAGAGACCAGTGGAGCCGAGGTGGATGAGCAGCTGCAGGAAGAAAGGTGGAGCTTTGAGAGGTGAGCCTCTGCCCTGGGCCGGCACCCGAGAGTTTGCCTCTGTCTGCCTGTCCCTCAGGGCCCAGGGCCAGGTCCCCAAGCATGGCAGCGGTAGAGATGTCTCTCAGGAAACAGTCCAGGGGACTCTGCTGGGAAGGAGGTCAGACCTGGACACTCCCCAGATTCCATGCGGGAATGAAGCCTCCAGGGCCTGGAAGTGCATGTTTCTCCAGCAGGAGTGTCCCAGCAGGGACGTTTGGGCTGTCAGGGACCAATAGTGCCTGACTGGGAGCAGGCACATTGTGTCCCTGCGCTCAGGTCCCTCTGAGGGTCCTGTCCCTTCCTACAGAGACGTTGGGAGGCCCCAGGGGTAGTGGATGTGGAAGCTCTGTGAGTGACAAGCTGCCACCTGTCACGAGCCTCGTCATCACTGCCAGCGGTCATGGGGCCGTGACCCTGATGCTTGGGCTCCTGAGTCCTCTCCCAGGTGTCTCCCCTGAAGGGCCATTGAACCCAGACTCCGGTAGGCCCCCAGCCCTGCTCTACCGTGTGACCCGTCTCCTCTTTCCAGCCTGCAGAGGGTGTTTGCAGGACCTGGATGAGGCTTAGGGTCAGATCACTCTTCTGCAAAGGTAAGGAATCGTCCCCATCTCTCCTGAGTCCTCACCCTCCTGAGTCTGTGATGTGACCCAGGCCTCCAGGCCGCCTTGGACTGACCTGGGAGCAGGGCCATGGGGATGGGGTGTGGCGATGGCCCTGGGGTGGGGGACAGCAGGGGCACTGGGAAGTCAGCCTCGGGCCATGGAGGACCTGGGCCCAGGTGCCCACCCCTGGCCTGCCTCCTGCTCCTGGCTGCAGCCTGTGTTCCATCCCTGCAGCCACCTGGGGAGGCCCCCTGACCAGCACGGCTTTCGTCAGCTCTCCTGTCGAGACCCCCCCGGTGAGGTGTGCAGAGCAGCACCCGAGGGAGCCGCCCTGCCCTGCGGGGAGCCTGTGGGAGATGCTGCTCCTGCCACGTCCCCGTCGGCTTCCCCAGCTCCTCCGACACAGTGTCTTCTACCTCTGGCCTCCGCCCCGTCAGCAGAACACCAAGACCAAGGTGACTTGAAGGGAGTTCCAGTAGATACCGTTCTAAAAAGCTCACCTCCAGGTAACCCCTTTTTGGCATCTCCCAACCCAGCCATCTCAGACCTTGGCCACTCAAGCTATTCAATTTCAGCCCTCTCTTCATGGCAGGTGACTGCCAGAGCCCTGTGCCTCTCAGCCTCACCACAGTGCGAGTCCCAGCAAGAGCCCGTGGGCCACCTCCCACCTGAGGCCTCATTCCAGGGAGCCCCCCCAGACAGGCAGGTAGAGACTGGTAGCCTCTCGTGTGTCAATCCTGGGGACAAGAAGCTGCCGGAGATACTGCTCACCAGGAGAGCAGAACTAAAGATGTGGAAGGAGAAGGAAGAAGAGGTGTCATCGTCAAAACCAACGAACCCAGAATCTCACCTGGACGCATTGTGGAAATCACTGGGCGCTGAGCAGGACACAAGCCCACAGCCATTCTGGAGCTTCGAGGACAAAGAGCAGGTGCCTGGTCCTCAGCAGTTCTCCTGCCTCCAGTTCCTGGGGGACCAGCTACAGCAGAAATGCAGCCAGCTCTTCTGGGGTCTCCCCTCTCTGCACAGCGAGTCCCTCGTGGCTACTGCCTGGGTTGCTAGGAACTCCTCTTACCTACAACCTCTTCCAGTTTTATTCAATGGACTCTCCAACGACTTTGCAGCTCCCATTCAGCCTAGCACACCTTCAGGACTTTCCCAGGCCCCGCCGGTGCCCCTCGCTGGGGCTCAACCCCAACCTTGGACTGAAAACTTGCCCCAGTCCCAGCCCCCACCTCTGGCTGGGATCCAGACCCAGACCCATGTCATAACCTCCCTCCCAGTCCAACTACCTTCTTCTCTGCACCAGACGAGGACCTCTGGAGGACCCTGCCCTGCATCCCAGAATAAGGGAACATCTTTCATCCCCACCGAAGTTCAGCATTGGGAATGGCCCTTGTTGCAGAAGCAACGGAAAAGGGAGAAGACTTTCCCCTCTGTGACCCAAAGGTCCCAGGGCCTCTTTAGCCAGCCCTCTCCCAACCATCCCCAGGAGAGCGGCGCCCCCCAGGGCCCAGTTTCTTTTTTCCAGAGGGACTTTATCAGCCCTGATCTCCAGAAGCGACATCTTCCCGAGAGGCTCGTCAAAGGTGCACAGCCAGGTGGCCTGCACTTCAAGGTCCAGGTGTCCCTGGAGCTGATGCCGGGGCAGGGCCAACCCCCAGGGCTGCGCCAGGCCCCAGACGAGCAGGGGCGCGGGCATCTCTCCGCGTCTGCGAGGAAGAGCAGCCAGGACTCACGGAGGACGGCGTCCAGGCACCGCAGACAGTCCCACAGGAAGGGCCGGGCAGGGAAATTCTCCTGCAGGAGTTCGCAGCGATGTCTCAGGAGGACCCCAGAAGGTCTCTGCAGAGGCTCCTCCACCTCTGCACTGAAAGTTCTGGGAATTAACTCCAAAAATAAGTCAGAAAGATACTGGAAGCCCTCCAAGAGTGGCTCGGAAACGGGCTTACTTAGCCCCCCTGAGAGCCACCCGGAGAAACCCCTACAAGCGCGTGTGGGCAGGAAGTTAGGCCAGATCGACCAGGGCTCGGTCCCGGTGAGCGGGGGGCGGTCCCGGCCTGCTCACAGCCATGCTTTTCCCGGGTGCCGCACGGACACGGAGCCCGGGGCCCCAGCATCCTGGAAGGGCTGGAGACGCTGCGTGAACACCGCCTGTGCCCTCCCCTTCCTCAGCCCGCACACCCGACGGCTGCTGGAAGGACATCTCAGCAAGTTGCAGGCGAGGCAGAGATGGGGCCCCCCCGTCCAGGCCCGTGAGCCCACACCTCTCAAGCCACACGAGGTTCAACGTTCACACCTCGCGCAGCCCCCCTCGCCTCCCTCAGCTGTCTGTGCATCTGAGGTCCGCTCAGAAGCCGGGTGCCCCAAGGGATTGGGAAAACCTCCTCAGGTCCTTTCGGAAGAGACTGTGATCACAAGAGAGTCACTGGGCACTCCAGCAGCTGGTGTCCCCACGCCCTCCCCGGACTTAGAGGGCATCCAGGAGGACAGCGGAGAGACACCTCCTGCTCCTGGCCATGGGCTCTCCGGGGCCCCTCTGAGTTGGGAGGAGAGCAGGCAGCCTCCCCAGCCCCCCACACTCAGCCCCGTGGGAAAGCCCCCACAGGCTGGGACTGTCACGGGGGTCGAGAAGATGAGCCTGGAGCCGACCCCCAGGTCAGCAGGAGCCGGGAATGAGCCGAGGCAGGAGAGAGGGGTTCAGACCTCAGAAGAGCCCTGCCACGGGGCAGCCGCGCTGGAGACACGCGGGGGGCCCCGCTCTCCCAGGGCTCAGGAGACCAGGGCGGCGGCGGGGGCCGAGGACCCTTGGGAAGTCATTGTGGGACCCCGCGTGCTGGCCAGTCCCCAGCCCTCGAGGGCGTCGGGGTGGCCAGGGCCCAGCCAGAGCCCCCCGCCACCTGCACAGTGGGTGGCCCGAGAGCCAGGAGCTCCAAGCCTCACAGCTCAGGAGGCTGGGGAGCGGGGGCTCCAGGGGGAGGTGGGGCCGGAGAACCAGCCTCAAGGCCATGCCACTGGTTTGCTTCTCCGAGACCCCCACACCGACATCCTCCTCCGAGATTATGCCACTGGCATGTTCCTGCAAGACTGTGCCTCCAGCGTGTTCCTCCGGGACCCTCACACTGACGTGCCCCTTGCTGCAGACATCCTGGCTGCTCACGGGGCTCTGTGCAGGTCCCAGAGGGAGCCTCTCAGGAGGGACCTGCCAGCTGCCCAGGTGCCTGCCGACCCCGCAGTGAGTGCACAAAGCAGGCAGGGGCCACAGGAGCTCAGGCTATCAACAGCTAAGGACCCATGGAAGAACCAAAACAAGATGTGTGTCCCTCCTGACAGGAGGAAGGACAACAGGAGGCCGGGAAACCGCAAGGAAGGGTTGGCAGGACTGAGGACCTCAGCAGCCGGTGGGCTGGGCCACCCTCCCCAGCTCAGGGGACTAGGAGACACCCTCGGGAGGAAATGCCTCCAACCCCTGCCCGAGAAAGGACAGGTGTTTTCGGAAAGCGGCTCTGAAAGGATGAGGCGCCCTGCGCAAGGCGGAGGACCAGAAGACCCCCTTCCCAGAGGCCAGCCCGCCTGGGCCGCGGCCTGCAGCCAGGAGCCGGTGCGGAGCCGGGGGGCGCAGGGCCAGGGGCCCGTGGCAGTGCGGGCCATCGTGACAGCCGTGGAGCAGGTCCTGGCGCAGAGACTAGCGCTTCGCCACGGGCTTCACGCCGAGGACGTCATTCAGCACATCGAACAGTCCCCGGCCCCTGAAGGCTGGCGTTCCCGTCACCACGAGGCTCCCTCCGGGCCAGAGCAGAGAGCGGTGATGAAAGACCTGTCCTACAGTCACCAAGCCACCCCCAGGGGCCACACGTTTTCTGACAAGAGCGGGTGCCCCAGAGACAGGCACAGCAGGTGGGCCTTCCCACCCCGGGAGCCAGGGGCCCGCGGCCGACCCTGCCAGCAGGGACAGCAGGGTGGCGACAGCCTGGCAGAGGGGTGCAGCGGGGGAAGGTGGAAGGGGACATATCGGGGATAGATGGCGATGGAAAAGTAACAATAAATAATTAAAGATTAAATCAAAACATTTTCTCTTTCCTCGGGTCTATTACAATGTGCTTCTCACGCTTTTCCTGGTAGAATATGTTTAAAAAAAAACTGAGTTTGTAGACAGAAAACCTATTTGCTCTCATTAGCGCATCTTCTGTGCACTAATGCTTCTTCTTAACACAAATTTAATTATTGCCACACTATGTCATCTTCCTCGTGAGAGCGGGTGGCCTGTCTGTGCCCTGCAGGGGAGAGAGGGATGGGTTCGCTCTGCCCAGGTGCCATCTGTGACTCCAGAAGAAGGGCCATGGAGGGAGGTGAGCTCCCTGAGGCAGCCCCACCCTCACCCGTCCTCAGTGCACCTTGTCACATCCTTCCCCACCACGAAGGAAGTGAAAGCGGTCAGGAGTCGTCCCCTGGAACTTGTGGGGCTGACACGCCCTCAGTCCCCCACAGTACTGTATTTTCTATTCAGTACTCAAAAAATTCACAGGCATGGGTGGAGTCATTTCCAAATGACTCCAGCAGTGTACCTTTCAGTGTTTGTCAGAAGTGTGTTTTTGGACAGCTTGCATCAGAATTATTTGGGTAGTGGGCTTCTTCAAAATATAGATTCCTAGGCTCCATCTAAGATGTACAGAATCAAATTATCCGGAGCGAGGAAGCAGGATCTATATTTTAACAAGTCCTAACTTGATTTGATGCACTGTTAAGGTTGAGAACTACTGTATCTGAAACATCTTGAAAGAAAGGGAAAGAGAGACTGTAAAGGTTAGTTAGGGAAGTTGATCCATTTTTGTTAGTTTGTTGAAGATTTTTAAATGGATTTTTAGAGAGAGTAGAAGGGAGAGGGAAACATCAAATTGTGGACTCTGCCAGGGGTCAAACCAGCAGCCCAGGCATGCGCACTAACCAGGAGTCCAGCAACCTCTCAGTGCACAAAATGATGCCCAGCCCACCAAACCACACTGGCCAGGGTTGATCCGTATTTTTGCTTTAGAAAGTAGAGAAGGCAGCTAAAATGGTAAAGGTTGGTTGTGATTCAATCAAAATACAGAAAGCATAATTAATGTAATAGAGCCCTTCCAAACTGAGGCTGTATTCTCTTTTCTCTCAGCCTAAGTTAAATACAAATTTAACTCAGGCCTTTTTTTTTTTTTTTCCTTTTTTTTTACCTACACCCAAGGACATTTTTGCATTTATCTTCAGACAGAGCAAGAGGAAGAGAGAGAGAGAAACATTGATGCGAGAGAGATACATTGAGTGGTCGCCACCCACACGACCCCAACCAGGACGGGGACAAACTGCAACCAAGGTGCATGCCCTTAGCAGGAACCAAACCTGGGACTCTCTGGTCCGCAGGCCAAAGCTCTAACTGCTCAGCCAAATGGGCCAGGGTTTAACTCAGGTTTTTAAATTTGGTGATTCTTTTCACTACTTTTACATGAGCCAGTCATTTATTTCTGAGAGTCAATGTAAATATGTCTCTGTAGTACTCAGCATTTCTGGGAAGGTTTGTTGACTGACTACTGGGAAAACAAGTGGAAAAAGATTAAAATGTATCTTACATTACAATACCGGAGCAAGGGCACTTAACAGATAGGGCCTCACAAGGTGCCAGAGGGTAACTGAGCTGTTGGGAATGCAGACCTTTTCCCAAGATCAGTAAACGAAGATGCCTAAACCAAGGTGCTTCTTTATTCATATTGAGAAGCATCAGTGCCTGAGACTCAGCATCCTTTGGTCATTGCCCAGGTAAGATGGAAACAGGTAGACGTCCCTAGTCAGAGACTCTGCAGAAGGTTGATGCTGCAGAGTTGCTCCGTCTGTACTTACACTGAGCCCTTTGGGAAGAAGCTGTGGGTTTGGTTTCAGAATCCGTGGATGCTCTTCTGGGGACAGGACGCCAGCACTTCGGAATTGAGGTAGGCATGTATACATAACATTGCATTTAATTCTGTGTTATCACACTAGGTAGAATCAGGGTCTGAAAACAACTGGACTACAGAATAGTGGACTTAACCTTTACTGTTAGTACTTGGACAACCAGTTTTCTCCAAGATCAGGGACTGGCACTCTGAGAACCTTCCGTGTCCTGTTTATAAAACGGGAATATTTCCATTTTCTCCATCAGAGGAATGTGGCTTTAGTTTGTCCTTGGAGGCAAAGAAGAACCAAGGGGCATTTTCTGTGTGCTGAAGTCCATGCGGGGTCCCCACGGGTGTTTTCTCCTCGACCCTTGCAGGGGCCCGGGAAGCAGAGCTCCTTCCTGGACGCCCCACAACTGGGCCGATAGGCAGAGACCAGGCAGCGCAGACGACACAAGTGAAGAGAAGACTCCTCGGCAGGTGCAGCCCAAGCCCTGCGGAAAGAGGTCTATGCTCGGGCCCTTCCGTGCTATTGGCTGGACTCTGGCTCTTTTCTCCATCAGCTACAGGCTTCCTCAAAGGGCCAAAATAGCTACTGGCCTAGTGCTCTACGCAAACCCCGCCCTTCAGGGGAGGAGCCAGCACGGAGCTCCGCCCTCCCAGCAGACCCTGCAGGGGCGGGCTGAGCACTGTGTAGCCCTGGGAGGCACAGGGAGCTCCTGGCCTCTGGGCAGGGCCTTGGGGGTAGGAGCAGCCCAGGCGGGGTCCACAATCGAGGCCAGTGCTTGGGGCCTGCGGGGAGCAAGGCTGTGGGCCCTGAGGAGGGGGAAGGGGCCCCGCAGCCTGCAGGCGGGTCCCAGGGGCGCCTCCTCAGGTGCAGAGGTTGCAGGGCGCGCTGAGCCCTGTCAGGGTCCCGCCTGGCTTTGAACAGCTTCCTGGGGAATTGGGGGAGTATGGGTTTCCCTCCAGGGCTTGGTGACGGGGTGTTTGGCCTTTTCTACACGTCCTCTGCTTTTTTCCCCTTCGTTTGTGTTCAAACCTAGAGAGACCCTTTATTTATTTTTAAAAAAATGTTCTTTCTTTATTTTTAGAGAGAGAGAGGAAGAGGGAGAGAGAAATGGAAACATTGATGAGAGAGAACATACATTGGCCACTTTCTGCAAGCCCCCCAATGGGGGTTTGGCCCACAGTCTGGGCATGAGCCCTGACCTGGAATCAAACCTGTGACCTCTTGGTGCAAGGGTCATTGCTCAACCACGGAGCAACACTGTCCTGCCAGAGAGATGCTTCAGAAGAGAGCAAGCCCTTTCTGTGATGTCAGCCAAAGCTTCAGTAGCCCCCAAATGGGCAGGCGTCCCAACAATTCCTCAAGAAGTGAGGCTTTGGGTGCTCCCAAGTACGTGTGTTTCTCCCTGGACTGCTACTGAGATTAAGCCTAATGAATATAATTGTCTCACCCTTGTGCTGTACGCTTGAAAGTAATACAAAATAATATGGAATGTAAACTGTAATGGAAAAAAATTTTTTCATGAAGGAAAAAAGTACCTCGACAACACTAACCAGAACCAGACCTCCAAGCAGCTGTGGTCTTTTAGGGGTTAAAAAAGCAGTTGGGTAGCTCATGTGACAGGAAATCCACAGTTGTGCTGCTGTAAAGGCCTGTGGTAGCTGGGAGAACATTTATGGCCTGTGTGTTTAATGATTTCAGATGTGATTTTGATTTGTAACGTTCAGATTATTTTTTTGTTTGTTTTTGGTACGTGCCCCTAGTGGGAACCGAACCCGGGACTCTCTGGTCCACAGACCGACGCTCCAACCGCTGAGCCAAACCAGCCAGGGTGTATTAAGTTCAGATTCTTAATGTTAAAGGCACTAGACAGAAGATCACAGCTCTGCTTGTTTACCATCTCCCAGTTATTTGAGTCACTGATGAATTTGACACTGTTTTTGAAAAAATGAAATGTAGACTTGAAAAATCAAATAAAAAATTATATATATATATATAGAAAGATTAGAATATGTTTTGATACTAAAATTTCTATAATTGGTAATAATTTCATTCTCTCAACTGGTGTTTTTTGTACTGTATCACACTGTATTATAGATGCTTGCTCCCGCCTCCTCCCATTTGTCCCTTAAAAACAAACAAACAAAAACCAGTGAGCATTACAAAAGCTAAACCTTGGTTGAGTTAGAAATTTCCAAACTAGAAAACGACATTTTTCATTTGTAAACAACACATATTATTTTATTTCAATCTTCGAAGAATCATGGAAGATAGAATTTAAATGTTCCTAGGAGGCATTTTCTTGATTGTTGTGTCAACCCTTCAGGCTGTTGCATGCCCAGTAAACAGACATGTCTTCACTGAGTAACATCATCCTACAAGGAAGGAATATACCAGTTCATTCAGTTCTTAACCTACCATTTGGTATGATGCATGGGAAAAGGTTTGCCCAACAAAATCCAAGGGAAGACAGTTTTCTGTTATTTTTACAGCTCTGTGTAGTAGATACTCCAGAATTGAGTATATTTTTTTCTTGAGATGATTTTCGAATTTTGCCTTTACCATTATAAACATACCAGAATTCTTTCTACAGAAAAGAAATAAAAATTTTAAGTTATTAATGTATGCTTTTAAAATATAATTGAGCAAGCATATCTAATACTTTTGTCCTAAAAATATAGTATATGCATGTGAAATTAAGAAAAAATTCAGAATAAGCTTTATTAAATTAGATCAATAGACTGCTATGATAGTTGATGAGAATGTAAGCAATTTATAGAAAAGGGTGGTTCATGTGGTTCCACGGATATCAGAGGTCTGTGGACCCCCTGAAATTCCCACTCAAGTGTGTGTTCCTGGGAGGGGTCCCTAGCTTTTATCATCTTTATTATTAAATAGTGTCTGTGACTAAAAGCATCAGAAGCAACTGTTGAAATGATGTTATGAGGAAATTATAAGTTACTAGAGTGTGAGGCACAGTTACTGTTTGAAGCTCATCAGGAAAGTAAGGTATATAATTAAGAAATAACTGCCTGCTATAGTTAGTTCATGTGCAAGGTGCTGTGTAGCATACATGAAAGGTGCGCATGTTGAGGTTTGAGGACTCAGCACCCC